TTTTCAGAAACCCGGGAGGCTTCAGGGCTGGTGATGACTCCAGGGCTGGCTTTGGAGAGCACCTTCATTCTTTGTTCATTTTGTGAAACAGGACCTCACTATGTAGCCAGGCTGTCCTGGAATTCCCCACGTAGACCAGGCTAGCCTAGAACTTAAAAAGAGCCGCCTGCCTTTGCCCTTAACGGTGGGATTAACGGTGTGCACTCTGGGCGGGGCAACCAGCTTGACAACAGTGTCCCTCGAAGCAGCTCTCGCCCACGTTCCTCCTTCCTCACACTGAGCCCTGCCAGCCAGCCCAAGGCCTTCCCCCGCCTGGACTGCAACCGGTGTCTCGAGCTGTCCTCAGAGTAGCTGGGCACGCAGTCCTAAAGCCGAAGTGCTGCAGAGCCCAAAGATTCCCGAGAAGTGACAGTCAGGGAAGGGTGGGAGCAGCTCCTCAAAGGACACACGCACACACACCATACACACACACTGAGCCTTGGGACCTGAGAACGCACAAACATGGAAGCTGTCCCACATCTACCCCAAGGCAAAGCACGAAAGCACCAGAGATCCAACATTAAGGCATTGATGTGAAGGGCACGAGGTGTAGCCCAGTGGGTAGAGCGCTGGCCTCTCCTATTCATGGGCTTCCAGGTTTGGTCCTCAGCACGTGTTAACCAGGTGTGGGAGTGCACGGCTGTAACCCCAGCACTCGGGGGTGGGGGCAGGAGGCTCAGAAGCTCAGGGTTATCCCCTGCTACACAGAGGCCAGCCTGGGCTACAGGAAACCCTATCAAAACAACAAAAGCCCTCATAAAGTACAAGAAACCCATCTTATGTGACTAAGATGGGGCCTGACAATAAAGCCATAAAAGCTTTATGGGCGTCGAGATTACAGGTAGAAGATTAACAGACTGAATTATGTAAAAGTTCTACACAGTTAAAGGAAACTTTAGGAAAAACATTAAACGCCAGCCCGGTTGCGCTCCCACAGATCGGGTATGGTGGCCCAGCTCGTGGTCGGGGGTGCAGGGTGGAGGACCAGGAGTTCCAGGGTTAGCCTGACTATAGAGCAAGTTTGAGGCCAGCCTAGGCCACTCGAGACACTGCCTTAAAAACCAAACCCAGTCAACCAACCAGACAAGAAGCAGAGTTAAATGACTAAGTTCTCTAAGATAGCCTATAAGTTCCTTCCTAAGGACTAGTGACTTCTGCAAGCCCGTGTGGTGGCCAGACCAGCAGTCACTACAGCCAGCCTTGTCCACACAGCGGGCTCTAAGGCAGCCAGGGCTACACAATCAAAGGCGTTCACCACCACACCCGTCTCTGGGGCGGGTTTTATTATTTTTTTCCAAATAAAACACACTAACAGGAGTGGCTGTGGACCCACAGTAGAGCCTGGACATGCATATGAAAAGCTGGGTTCAACCCTCGGTCCCCCAGAAGGCGGCACACTGGACCATCTATTATTAACTCCACGGAATGAGACTAAGACCATTACCACAAATTTTGAGGGAAATCTGAAGCAAGCTTTGTTAAGTACTGGCCATGGCCACAGCTGGTTTGGCCCTCACATTATCTAAGGACATGCACACACACTTTGCCCAGACCCCACCTGCAGGCTTGTCCACAGTCAAGCTTCCCATAGGTGGGGGGAGTAAGTGCTGAGCAAGGCCATCCTCCCGTGATCTGACTGGTGGGGCAGCCTAACAGGGCTCCGATGGCCACGGACGATGGCTGTGGACTGACCCGGGAAGCATCACTATCTGGGTGACAGAGCTGGGCAGGATGAAATAAGGGAGAGGAGAAAGCCAGCCCGACAGTCATTCACCCTGACCTCCCACCCGACCCCACTTCCTGGCTCCCACGGAGAAATGAGCCCTCCGAAGCTGTGACCAATGTAAGGAATTCCTCCCTTCGGAGTGTTGCCTTGAATATTCTGGTCAGAAGTACAGACAGAGTGCTAATTAACATGGCTATCTTTTCTACAAACAATCAGCATCAGGCTAAAATAACAGGCAACGCTAACAGTAATGTGAAGAGGGAGCACTCAGCCTTCAATCTGAAGTCCCTACTTCCGGAGGTCAGCTGGAGATGGTGACGGTAAAATTCACGTGACTCCTGGGATACAAGAACAGAGCGGAGGAGACTCGCACCGCCCTGGCTGGGGGCTGGGGACACGCTTGGCGACCACAGCACTTGCCGCCAAGCCCGAACACCCTTGCTGACCGGGACAGACAAGGACGGTGACATGGAGACATTCCAATGCAGTGAGCATCATTGCACAGAAAGAAGACACACATAGACCATACTGAGCCGTTTCAGCTACAGGGATGTCTATCCATCTAACACGAGGAGGAGCTGGGTTAGGGGCACGCAGGGCATGGCATGTGTACAGAGCCTTTCTTTGGCAGGACGCTCACTTCGAACGCTTGCTGGTTGTTTTAAAGCAAGCCGTAGCAGAGCCTGGAGAGATGGCTCCGTGGCTGAGCGCTCCCGGCTGCTCTTGCAGAGGACCTGGGCGCAGTTCTAGCACCCATGCTGGCAGCTCACAACGGTCTGTAACTCTAGTGCTAGGGGCTCTGACGCCCTCTTCTGGACTCCATGTGCTGCACAGGCAAAAAACACCCATACACGTAAAATAAAACTTAAAACGTAATTTTCCCGAAGACCAGGACCACTGGACCACTGGGCACCCATGGCACTGCCCTGGTGCCCCGACCCCATTCCTGCTCCCCTACTGGACTGTCCCTGGCACTTGTTCACCCACGCTGCTCTGCAGGGCTCAGAAGCTCTGCTCGCCATGGACAGCTCTTTAGGGACCAAGGCCGGATCCCTCACCCCAAGTCTCAAACCTAGAAAAGAACAGGAGCATGGAGATGCTCAGAGCTGTGCCGCCTTCCCCGAATGTGGTCCTCCGCAGGGCAGCAGCTGTCCCTCCCACGCGTATCCCCAGTCCCTTCACTGTCTCTGCTGGGCTGAGTCTTCCCAAGTCCAGCAGTGTGTGCGGAGGGGCAGCCCTGCTTGCTGCAGTTGGTACTGGACGTGACCCCAGCAATGACAAGAACAGTGACCTCCTGAATACGGGATCCTTCCCAGAGCGCTGCGCGTGCCTGCTTCCTGCCTGGAGAGACATGGTGGGAGCCGGAGGAGGCAGGCTGGAGCTACAAGGCGCCTGGCTGCTGCAGAAATGACCTTGCTGCCAGATAGCAAGCACCAAAGGCCATCATGCTGCACATGACAGCTCGGGGACAGGAAGGCCACGGTGGGGTGAGGGAGAGAGCCTTCGGGGTCGGTGGCTCCCGGGGTGGCTGGGGAGGCGTGAGGAGGACAAGAATGGGAAAAGAAACCTGGTGTGGGGTCCTGTTGTTTGGGTGAGCAGGAGGGCAAGGGGAGCAGCAGGAGGATTTGGGGCTCCCTGGGCAGGGGTAACGAGTCCTCTTGTTCACATAACTGACCCTGCATTTCTTTGTAGGTCCCTCCTGCCCTCTGCTCTTGGGGGTGGGGGGACAGGCTTCCTGCTCAGGACTGCGTCCCAGGGGCCCTTTTGTATCCGGGAACTGTGACAGGTGACACACAGACTGTGCTCAGTCCTCATGAGCCCTGCAGCAATGCCCCCTGGACAGAGGAAGAAGCAGTGAGAGGCCCCAGCCTCAGAACCCGACAGGGGACAAGGTAGAAGACACAGAGCTTTGTGCCAGCCAGATCGCCTGGACCCAGCCCTCAGCCCCAGCTCAGCCTCTGTCTGGCTGCTAGGAGGGAGGATTTTCTCCTAACAGCAGGAGGGCTGCTGTTTTTAGAGTGTCCATGGATCCTCTTCAGACTTAGGATCAGGACCTGGAACATCAGCCCACACCAACGCCCCTCCCTGGCCAGAGCTGTCTCTTTGGTGTTGGCTGGGGTGGGGGACCTACCCAGTTGTTCTGAAACCTGCACGCATCCCTTAGGCTGCTTCCTGTGCAGCTTTAGCTGCCAAGCTGCGGTGCACCTCCGTGTTCTGCCAGGAGGACAGACCTGCCCCTGCCATCCGCCAGCCACCCTGCCCGGCACCCCAGCTCTGTTCCGCTCCAGCAGTGGGAGACACCATCAGTTGGCTTTTCCAAGATTGTTGCTGCCTGACCCGGCAGGAGCCTGCTCTCTTTTTCCCTTCTTCAGTCCTGCCCAGACTGGACGCTCATGGCGGCTCCCAGCAGTGACGCAGGACCACGAAGCCCTTGAGCAGGAGTTTGCCTACTAGAGGCACTGCAGCCTCGGAGCCCTCGGCAAGTCAGGGCCCCACGTGCAGTCACGAGGAGGGCAGGAGCAAGGGGTTTCCAGTGAAATCAGTCCCCGGACGGCTCTAATTCTGGGGTGTGAACACGTTTTCGTACACCCAGACTCACCGCCCACCGGCCCTGTGAGCCGGTGAGGTCAGCTAAGGAAGCCCCGGCGCTCTTCCTGGTATCTCCCTGATGGCCAAGCCGGCTGTGTGCCCTGCCCGGGGGGTTATCAGCATGGCAGGGGCCGCCAGGGCCCCTTCACGCCTTAGACGGCCTTCTCGCTGCCTCCATCACCGGGGACCTAAGTGGGTGACCTTCTTATGACTACCCCAAGAGCCACGTGCTACTATGCCCATTTAACAGAGGAAACGGTAGTGTTCCAAACACACACACACACACACACACACACACACACACACACACACACACACACGAGACAGAGGGGGGAGGAGTGGAGCGGGGGAGGGACCAGGAACAGGGTCATATAATGGCTGCAGGAACATGCATTGAGCCTGGGCAGGAAGGCTCCGGTCTTCTGTGTACTGCTGGCTCACGAATGCACCAGGAGCCAGCATCTCCCTGTCCCGGGGGCAGGATCCTGAGTGCTGGAATCTCCTCTCAGCCAGAGGGGAGCCCTCCCTCCCCTGACTCCCATGTGGCTGCCAGCCCTCAGCTGAATCTG